CCCCGCCCCTTTCTCTTTTCTCTTCCCTTCTCTCCCTCCCTCTTCTCCCCAGTCTACCTTTTTCAGAAAATCCCATTCCACCAGCTTCACATGTTTAAATGCCAAGAATAGGCCAAATTCAAGTTTTCTCCTTCAGAGCCCCTAGGTAGCGTGCAAATTTGAGTGGACCTCTGTCCTAAGAAGTCCTAGTTTACCTGAAAGCAACAGAGGACCTTCCACATCCCTAAAATGGCTAAATCAGTGCTGAGAGGAAAATTTATAGCACTAAATACTTACATTTAAAAAAGGGGTGAAGAGGAAGACGGGAAAGTTATTTTTTGTGTGTGTGATATAGAAAGATATCTAGGACACATTGTTAAATAGAAAAACACAGATACAGAGCAGTGGACATAGTATGCTATCTTTCGTATAAGAAAAGGGGATTAGAACATGCATTTGTATGGCTCGATTCTACACAGAGAAACACTTGAACAGCCCTGTCCCTCCAGCCAGTCCCTAAGATTATCCCATCACTGTTGGAAGCTGTCACTTTTCCTAGATCTTACTTTGGCTCTTTCTCTCTGAAGGTTGCTTTGAATCTGCTCCTTAGGGTCTGGCGCCCTCTGCTGGCCTTGAGGATCCACCACAGTCTTTAAAGGACTGCCTTACTGCACTTAACTTAGAGCTCATCCCTTTCTACCCCCACTGTCATATGGGGAAACTGAGGCAGCAAGTGGAGCAGTGACTTAAGAACACAAAGCAAATCAGTTCCTCAGACCAGAACTTAGGCCTGCTGACCCTTCTTCCAGCACAGCATCGTTGGAGGGAACGAAGACAGGAGATGTCTGACTGGACTCCCAGGCTGGGGGAGTCTGCCTTCCACACATACCCCAGGAGTTCTCTGGAGCTCCGTGTCAGGCTGGCAACCCCTGGATTGGAAGGAGTGGACGCTTAGCTGGTCTTGTCCGCTGCTGTGCTTTGGGGGAGTGGCTCTATTGCCCTTTATGGGATGCCTCATTTCTCCCCTTAGAGCATGGATGGATTTAATAATGCCCTCGGCATACAGGTAGGCCATGCTTCCCCAAATACTATCATTTGCAGGCCACTTCGTGGATTTTGCCATATCCAGGTACCACCAAAACTATACCTAATACTTTTCTTTAGATGGTCTCATTTTAAACTTAAAGGTTCAAATGCATCGCTTTCCCCTGGGTGATGATGTATAGATGCATCTAGCCCCTAGGAATTGTCTTGGAGTCCTTGCTGTCTTCATTTAGTGCAGTGGTTCTCAACCTGTGGGTCGCGACCCCTTTGGGGGTCGAATGACCCTTTCACAGGGGTTGCCTAAGATCATCGGGAAACAAAAAGATATTTACATTACAATTCATAACAGTAGCAAAATTACAGTTATAGCGTAGCAACAAAAATAATTTTATGGTTGGGGGTCACCACAACATGAGGAACTGTATTAAGGGGTCGCAGCATTAGGAAGGTTGAGAACCACTGATTTAGTGCAAGAAGACTCGATCCTCACCCTGAATTCTTCACTTAGAAAAACAACGATTACGAAGAAATGAGAACCTGGTATCTTTTAGGTACTGACCTTGTATGTCTTCATGATGTTATTCAATCCTTATTACGGCTCCATGGGTGGGTATTCCTATCCCCATAAGAAACTGAGACATGGACAACAGGCTAGTTACTTGCCCACGTTTCCACAGTTGGTAAATGGTTGAGCTGAATTTAATCTCAGTCTATTTCTAAAGCCAACTTATGTGACCTTGTTTGTCTTTTGAAATTAAAAGTAAAATGATGCAAAGCTATAGTAAGAGATAACGACTAGGGCATCATATGTGCTATGGAGGGATTCGTTGTGTAGGGGGAAAGCAGACAGTGGACATAAGAGTACAGTAGAGTAGGCTGTGTTATGATAGAGGCATGAGCAAGGTGACATATTCTGGCATATGGGACTACAGGATGATAAGAGAACGTATGGGCCATAAGTCCAGGCAAATGGGGACTGAAGGAGACGATGGAGTGGATAAGAAGGGCATTCCAAGTCCTCCCATTCTGATACCCTGGGGAACGTGATGGACCCCGCTGGGTACCCTCTGTCCCCTTCTGATTACGTATACACCATCCATTAACACTTGCTCCATGGGAGCCCTTCTTGATGGACTGGCTCTGCCTGGGACCTTCTCCTGGGGTAGAGCTGGGCCACTGTGGGACGAGGTAGAGTAGGACGGGGACAAGGGTGCAGGCAGAAGCACATGCTGGACTCCTATCCCCACCACTCAATGACTCTGACCTTGGCCTCAGTTTGCTCGTCTGCCAAATGTCCCGGAGGAAATACTGAGATGGACCACCCAGGTTCCCCTTCATGAAAGGACTTGCTGCCCAACTCAAGGGAGTGGGGTCAGCAGACAGTCTGCAGCCGTCAGCTCCTTCAGGGTCAGCTTCAGAGAACACACTCTGCCCTTTTTGGGGCTGCTCACATACCTGGTGACCAAGTAAGGTAGGAGTGTAAAAGCCCAGCCATTTCAACCCAGAAAGGGACACTCTGGTGGGCAAAACTTTCTCCAGACCTCAAGAGGCCTGTGTTGGTGGAAGCTTTGTGGAGCCTGCATCGCAGCCCCGCTTCTCCAGTCCTGTTTCCTTCCCCCTCCTTTCATGGGTGCTGATTCCAAACAAACCCCTTGTCCCCCAGACTCCATCTCAGCATCTGCTCCTGGAGAACCCAATCTGTGGTGTATCCATTTATGTGCCCAGGACAAAGGAAGCATGCCATCAGTTTTGATGAAATGATATTGGGTACAAATCCAAAAGGTGGGAATTATCCAGCTCCTTGGGACCTACCTTCTGGCCAGTGCTAGATTCATTTTTTTGTGTGGAAGCATCGAAGGCAGTAGGAAGGCCAGGCTGTGGGCTTCAGTGGCAGCCTGTCTGCATGGTCTGGCCCTCATAGAATCAGGACAAACAACTTGAAGACATAAGCGCTGAGGGACAATTGAGGGAGGCTTCTTGAGAGAAGGCAGGCACCGAGGAAGATGGCCGATATTTCAGGCACTGCATCATTTTCACTTAGTGGCTTCACAGACGTTTATTGAACATGTTACATGCGAGATCTGTACTATAAGGAAGAAAGGTTTTGGAGAAAAGCCTCAGGGAAGGTCTCTGACCCCGACTATCCCCAAGGGACATTCCTCAGCCCCATGAGCTTTGGACACTTCCCCAACCAGTTCCCTCCATATTTGATTTCTTTTCACTGAATAGCTGAAGCCTTGATCATAAAAACAAGTTTTAACCAAAGAGTAAATAAGCAAAAAACTCAAAGTGCTTCTGCACACTTGAAGAATCAACTAATGCTAAGATTTTTAATTCTCTTCTGATCCTTACTGATGCATGCACCATTTCTATTTACTAGTCTTTATTATAAAAATAACATTTTGGGTGCACTTTTTGTCACCTGGAATTATTTTATGGAGACTGTTCCTTACTTTGCATTTTTTAAAAAATATGTTACATTCTTTTTTTTTTTAATTGGGGAATTGGGGGAGGGGAACAGACAAGTTTCTGCCCTTTTGTTCTTCAGTCTAGTTGTGGAGGGCGTTGCTTCACTGGTGCATGTTGGTATTGTGATCATTGCGCTCTTCCTGGGGGAGACAGATCGGTTGCCTGGCCTCTGGACGGCCACTCACAGCGGCTCTTGGCAGCTCACATCGGCTGCCAGCCTCTCAACCTGGCTGCCGGCCACACACGGTAGCTTATGGCAG